ATTTCTAAAAAATCATGACAACATAAAAAATTGATTTAAGAAGACAGAAATAAGATGGATTCTAAGCTGGTGAACTCAGTGGGGAAGAGGCAACTGCAAAACTTGTTGGAGTTGACACTACTGATTGTGAACCCACCTGTTTGGTTCAGACCCACCCCACTGCATTTGACTTCATGACCAACTCTAGCCATGGCCCAGATGATCTAAGTGGGAGTTCATTCCTTTGGAGATTGGTTCACAAAAGGACATGTTATGCAATTTGAGCCAAAGGAAAATAAGGAAAAGTCTGTTGGGAGTTCCTCTTGGAACAATTTCCATACTTCTGTAAAAGGAAATGTAATGGGACTTTTTTTTAAAAGGCTTTATTTATTAATTTGAGAAAGAGAGATATTTTGTTTATTCATGAGAGAGAGAGAGAGAGAGAGAGAGAGAGAGATAGCAAGAGAGAACATGAGCTGAGGACAGGGAGAGGAGGGAGAAGCAGGCTCCCTGCTGAGCAGGGAGCCCAATGCAGGGCTTGATACCAGGACCCTGAGCCAAAGGCAGATGCTTAACTGACAGAACCATCCAGGAACCCCATAATGAGACTTTTTTCCCTGTCTCAATTTCATCTGAGGACCTCAACCTCCTCATCTTTAAAATGGAGATAAAAACAGCAGCTTTGCTTGGCATTGATGAGATTTATTCATTTAGTTACAAATAAGTTTTGAGCACTTGCTGTATTCCAGGGACTATTCTAGGAGCTGAAGTATATTTTATTCAGTGAACAAAACTTATGATATCTCCATTCTAAATGAAACATTGAAAGTATAACCCATTACTTAGTGTGTAGTCCATGGTAGCCATTACTATGAGACTTAAAAACAAGAGACCCCAATGTTATATTAAAGGATAATTTTCCAAAACTGGTAGAATCATCACTCCCATAAGATACAAACATGAACATGTTAGAGGCTTTATTTAGCTTACTAATGAGAAAACTGGTAAAAATTTCACAAGCAGATCAAAGGAGAATCCAAAGAACAGATCCATTTATAAATGGATTGGGAATATTGAAATGAATGTACAAGTGGATTCAAGACTGGATTTTCCACAGAGGAAGGTCACCCTTCCCTTGCATAAAATTTATTTACATGTGGGATCCCTGGGTGGCGCAGCGGTTTGGCGCCTGCCTTTGGCCCAGGGCGCGATCCTGGAGACCCGGGATCGAATCCCACGTCGGGCTCCCGGTGCATGGAGCCTGCTTCTCCCTCTGCCTGTGTCTCTGCCTCTCTCTCTCTCTCTCTGTAGCTATCATAAATAAATTAAAAAAATTATTTACATGTCCCTAGGCAAGAATTATTTTGCATTGGCATCAGTTGTCTATGATTTACAGAGTTGCAAATTCACTTACATGAAATCAGAATTAGACAACAAGAACAAGTATGCTCTAAACAATGCATAGTTTTCCACCAAAGCACACATTTTCAGTTCTATTGACTAAGTTGGTTTCCCATATAAACTCAAAGGACATCTTTAATTGTCAAGCAAAAGTGCAGGCAATGTTCAAGGGGTTCTGGATATGATGGAAGCACGTGCCAGGAGCAGCAGAGTGTCTTATCAGGGCAGGCTTCAAGGAGGAGTTGATACTGGAGCTGTGTGGAAAGACAAGTAGATAGAAGCCAGGCAGACAGCAGGGAAGAGAAGGGCCCACCCCAAGGAGGAAACATACCAGGAAGGGCTGAATTTCTTACAAGTAATAGAAACTGACATGAGTTTGCAATGCTGGTCCCCATTTCCTGCCCCAGCTCTTCATTGGAGAGTTGCTTCATTTCTCTTGCCAAAGATAAAGCTGGATACTAGTTAACGTGGTGAGGATAGACTTTATTTGGTCATAACCATTGCAATGGGGAGGAGGTTCCAGTGTTAGCTGGACTCAGCTTTGGTTTGTACAGAGATGACTGGGGGTTTTGAAAGAATGGGGGAGCTAGAGAAGACACTGAGTTTGTTCATTGGTTATTATCAGATAGAGAAGCAAACTTCTCACATCTTTATGACAGAAGGTGGTGCAAGTTAAAGCAAGGAGCCCAAGAACTGAGAGGGAGAATTGGCTAAGAGGGAGGCAAGAGTTATCCCCTAAGTGTTTGCATTTCAAAGAGATAGCACTCAGGTCCTTGAGAAGATGGTTCTGGTGGTAGAAGATCTATATCTCAAGGGGGACAGAAAGGATTCTCAATAGCAAGCTTTCTAAAGTAACTTCGCTAAGGGTGGGGGGCTAGGTTTTGGAACCTGTTTGTCTATTACCAGGTTTTGGCTGAAACAGAGCAGTGATTCCCCTGGCAGCCTTGAGCTGCCTCAGGCAGGCACTTTCAGGGGAGCATCCTAGGGATGCAGCCTTGAGCTACTGGAAACTACCTTAGTGTTTGTTCAGGTCTCTTAGTGCAGGGACGGACAAAACCAGTTGTGCTGAGAGTCTGCAGTTTTTATACGCCAAAGTTGAGGTCTAGTCAAAAGTCATCTAAAGTTTGGTCAAGAAGAGAATCTTTGCCACTCTCTCCCCACAGACTGGCTCCCTTTGCTTGTAGTCCATGTGATAGAATACGGTTGCCTTAGGTGGGTCCCTGAGAAGTAGAAGTTGAGATGGATTTGGGTGATCTGTTGGGGGTAGTGTTCTCAAGTGAAGCCTATAATGTAGGGAGGAAGCAGGAACGTGAAGGAGGTGGTCAAGCAGGATTGGTGAAGGGGCCTCTGGGATGCAAATCCACTGCAGAGTTCTTAAGTCTTGAGGCTGGCCTTTTGTATTTCTGTGGCTATGAGGGGGTGGGGGGAGAGGTGAGCTCTTTGTGGCAGCAGGTGATTTTCCAGAGAAAAGGTACCTTTAAAACATTGGCAACTCACACAGCAGGAGGCAAGATGGGTGCACTCAACCTGGCACAGGAGATCTGGTCAGGGTACCATAACACAGAGTTTAGGGCTGCTGCCCACACTTTCTTTATTTGGTACCGCTGTCAATCTGATTTTGGAATCTCATATCAATTTCAAATTTGGGGGCTGGGAGCTTTCTGACTAATGCCATTTATTTTTGGAGCCCACATCAGATCGATGAACTATGGCCTGGAGATTAGGTCATGGTTGTGAAGATGACTGCCCACCACAATTGCATGGATGCTAGGGGCAGTGGCAGGCATTCTGCAAGGTTCACGAGTCCCCAGAGGCACTCCTCATCTTGTAGTCTATGGAGGGATGCCACCCACATAGCAGCGTACAGTGTGGAAGCTGCTCTTGGAGTATGTAGCATCAGGCCTTTAGTGTTACAGGGTTGAGGGGTTCCAGAACATGCTACCCCCAAATTTGCCTTTTTGGCATATGGATTATTTTGTGGTCATTGAGAGTCGACAGGTGCAGGAAAAGCCCTAGAAACAGGAAAACACATTTTCCTTTGGTAAAGTAAATTTACATTTATTATAAAGGAAATTTCTATTTGTAGAGAAGTGTCTCTCTCCTGTACCAGGAAGTGGAGGACCCTTAACAACTCTTATCAGTGGAGTAGGCACAACTTTTTTTTTTTATTTATGATAGTTACACACACACAGAGAGAGAGAGAGAGGCAGAGACATAGGCAGAGGGAGAAGCAGGCTCCATGCACTGGGAGCCCGACGTGGGATTCGACCCTGGGTCTCCAGGATCGAGCCCAGGGCCAAAGGCAGGCGCCAAACCGCTGGGCCACCCAGGGATCCCGAGTAGGCACAACTTAAATCTGCATAACAAACTTCACTAAATAACCCTTATTTACCATACTTCTGATCACCTTCCTGTAACTTGCCTCCCCCACCCAGAAACACCAAGCCCCATTTTCTTTACCTAAGACGGCACATAAACTCTTATATCCTTTTGAGTTACTCATCTCTGGGTGTGTTACATGCACGATGGACGTGTTAATAAACTTTAGCTCTTTTTTCCTCTGGTTAATCTCTCTTTTGTTACAGAGCCCCAGCCAAGAACCTAGAAGGGTAAAAATAAAGACGATTTTATCTCTTCTACAGGGTTGAAGGGCATGTCCCAGAAAGTGCATTTACAGGGAGCAGCCCAAGAAATAACTACCCACCAAGCATGGAACTGCCCAAGGGTGTGAAGTTGGGCAGAGGGCAGGAGGCTGGACACGTCACAGGATCTAGAACTCAGAGGGCTTTGTATTCCTCATTAAGAATTTTTACCCACCTTCTTCCACTCAAGTGGGGGAATTGACAAAGAAAAGCCAAATAGGGCAGAATTATAGAAAGGGCTCTAAGTTCAGTGCCCCCACCCAAATCCAACCTCTTTGCGTGAAGCCCTTGCTTTAAGCCCTACTTCTGGATTGCATCTTCCCCATCAAAACTTACCTGAGTTCTGTGTTCCATCCCCTTGACCTTTCTGTTTCCTTGGCAAGCCCTAGCTGACTGGGTAAACACCTAAGACATTGGTGTGTTAATTACACATACAAACTTTGGCATGCGTTTATCTCAAAATGCCTTTTCTAGAAGGATAGATTCTAATCGTTGAGAATTGTGAGCCCTCTGGGGACAAAGCTTCTAGAGGGGCTTTGGGAACCTCTAATATTCCATTGGTTAGGCTGTCCATTGGTCCTTCATTCTGAAGATGTGTCCTTTATCTCTGTCCCCTTGTCTTCTCTGGGAGCCCCAGCCACAGGCCATGTGATCACATTACCACCAGGTGGCAGTGGCACCACATTCCTAAGTCCTCAGGCCACCACTCAGCCCAGTGGGTTTACAGGATGTAAATAAAAGGAATAGGGGTGTAAAGCATGGAGTTCCTGCTTTGGAACCACCAAGGTAAGATGGGAACTACTGCTTTGCTACTGAGAGACTCCAGGTCTTGGGGAAGGGGCTGGGTTTGTGCCACAGTCTCCTTACTCAGAGTCAGAACAAATGTTCTGTGTTGAGAAGATAATAAAATCAGGAGAAATATGAAGATAGATAGATGTTTCTTGATCAAGCCACCTGAAAGGCTTGTTGATTTTCCAGAGTTCCTGAACCGTGGACCTAAGACTCCACTGGGAGAGTCTTCCATAAGACAGCAGCATCTTTTACATCTGGGTGAAACAGCTCCTACCACCTACACATTCCTCGTACTCCAGGTCAGAGGGGTCCTTGCATCCTGGCTTCTTAGAGTATGTGGGGGTTTGTGATGGAGGCATTGCTGGCTCTTTTCTGGGGCCATTACTCCCTTTGGGGCCTATCCTGAGTGTCGAAACCTCATCTCCTAACCGCACCTCCCTTCATATATCCTACTGTATCCCTGCATTCCTGACAGGCCAGTGCTGACATGAAGGATGGCAGGAGCCCCTCTGTGAGGGGCTTGTGACCTTCAGGTTCCCAAGAATGTCTTCACCCAGGTATCCCTCACATCACAGGGCCTGTGGCAGTGGCCTCCTACTCTGGACTTCCTCAGCCCAAGCCTCCCTGTGGCCATGATGCAGAAGAACTCCTACCATGGCTTCCCAGGCTGGAGCTTCACCTGGTGATCTTGCCAGGCCCTTGAGGTCCAGGTGAGGACAATGTGTCACCCCTGGGGCTCCTCCCCGGAACCCACCATGTGGAGAATTGGAACACTCATGTATTGTCTCTGGATAGGGGGTTGTAAAATTTTGTGACTACTTTAGAAAATTGCTTGGCAATTACATAAAAAGTTAAATGCCTATCTGTCCTATAACTCAGGCCTATCTGTCCTATAGTTTTAATTCTAGGTATTTAACAGAGAACAATGTAGAGTGAAGTCCACAAAAAGCCTTGTGCAAGAATACTCACACAAGCTTTATTTACAGTATCTCAAATCTGGAGAAGACCAGATATCTCTCAGCAGGTGAATAGATGAGCACATTGTGACATCATCATAGGGAGCACCATACAGCCCTGTTACACATCACAGGAAGGAATCTCAAATGCAAGGCTGAGTGAAATAGCCCAGACACAAAAGGTTCATGCTCTGTGATTCTGGTTTACATGAAGTTTGAGAAAAATGTGAAACTAACCTGCGGTGGTAGGAATCAGAATGGTGGTTGCTTCAAACTGGGGGTGCAAGGGATGAGGACAATTCCTGAGAACTCTTCTGTTCCTCAGCCTCCAGCCTCATGAGCTCTTCGCAGACTCCTTGAGAAGGCACTCATGCTACTTTGTTGGCTCCGTCCACAGCAGAGCTGAGGGGAGGGACTTGAGGAAAGGAAAATCTAGTAGAAGTTGATAGTTCTGGGAAATTTGACATTTCAGAGCTAATGTAACGGGGACTGCTCAATAGTCATTTTCTTCTTTCATTCCTAATTGTAGCTGGGCATGTTGCCAACTAGCCAAAACATTGGTTGCTCCAACCTCTCCTGCAGCAAGATGAGGCCATGTATCTAAGAGGTGGTATGTGTGACTTCCTGGAAGAGTTTAGTTGGCAGCAGGAGGTTGGGGAGCCCACTCTTTTCCCTCTTTCTTCCTGATTGGAACACAGATGTGATGACTGGGGCCCCTGCAGCTATCTCGGACTACAAGTTTGAAACCACCTAGTGAGGGCAGAGGGGAGGCTGGGAGGAACTTCCCAGACCAGTCTTGGCCTGTCTACTTCTGGACTTATGTCTCAGTCACTGCTAATTGCGTTTCTCCATAACTTGTTGTTACACCCAAGCCCAAATGATACATGTTGTAGAGGCCATTGGGAGGAGATTAAGAGTATGGGCTCTGGGGACACCTGGGTGGTTCAGCGGCTGAGCATCTGCCTTTGGCTCAGGACAAGATCCCAGACTCCAGGGATCGAGTCCCACATCGGGCTTCCTGCATGGAACCTGCTTCTCCCTCTGCCTATGTCTTTGTCTCTCTCTGTGTCTCTCATGAATAAATACATAAATAAATCTTTAAGAAAAGAAGAGTGTGGGCTCTGGACTCAAACAGCTATCCTCCTCACACCTGGTTTGTCACTTGCCAGCCAGATGACTTTGAGATGCTCACCTAACTTCTTTGTCTCTGCTTCCTCATCAGGAAAATGGAGATAAAACTACCTACCTTGTAGGGTTGTTGCAAGGATTAGAGGAGTGGACAAAGTATAGTGCATTTAGGAAGTATTAACATAAGTTGTGCAAATAGTCCCTGGTACATAGCTAGTGCTCTATAAAGTGTGGGATTTTATTGTTTTGGCACAGAGGAACAGTGTATGTGTGTGTCAACTCTGGTCTGGGTGGCACTATCAAGCCATACTGACCTTGTCTGAGGAGAATGCCTCCTACAGGTGGCGGCTGTGTCCTCATTTGGCTTCTGGAAACTTACCCAAGAGCCTGGCTCTGGGACTCCCCCTTATGCAGAGCAAACATTTTTCCTTCTGCTACTGGCCATGGGGCGGCAGCGTTCCCAAGGCTGTCCCTTCCCTTGATCTTTCTCATCATACTTACGATGAAGGGGCTTTTTATGGGCTTTTTATGCCCTCCCCAAGAAGGTGAGGAACAAGTAGGGCTGCCAGATTTAGTAAATAAAAATACAGGTCACCTGAATAAATTTTAATTTCAGGTAAACAATGAGTGGTTTTTTAGTATAAATATGTCCCAATATTTCATTTTGTCTAGCAACCTAAGTGTGGGACCCTCTGCCGTAGGACCCCCACCCCTGCCCTGAGGTCACTGTCATATTCTGTGCTCCCCTGCAGGTTCTGACGGTGGGTGGAGGAGCAGGGCCATTTTCAGAGGAAAGCCCCAGTGTCCACCTCCCTTGCTGCCTGCACCACTTCCCAGATGCTCTCTCTTTTGCCCTCCTGGGAACTTCTCTCCCGAGCTTGGAAAACTAACTCTGACCTGTCATAGGTCTTCCAAGCTTCTAGATAATCTATGAATTAGGCTCTGAATCCTTCAGTTTCTTACAACCCAAAGCTGACTTTTGACATTCAAAAGCCAAGCCATGGTTCTGACTTTTCTCCCGTTCTGTCACAAGGGGAGGTTGTCATTGTCGGGGCTGAGAAAGAAGCCAGACATAGGAGGATATGCAGCCAACATTTCCAGGTATTCTCCAGCAACACAAAGGGGGTGTTTAAACATCCCCACAGTCTTGTCGTGATTCCCCATCACCACCCTGTTCTTTGTTTGGGTGGCCGCAGGGGTGGTCCTTGTTACAGATGTTGGGATATTAAAGGACAGGTATACCTTGTCTGCTCACATCCTCCTCCCCCTGGCATCTGTCAGAAAATACAAGTGGCTCCTGGTGCTGCTTCCCAGAGGAGACTGTAATTGAGCGCCCTGTCAGCCGATGCCAGATGCACCGCATGAGAGATGAGAGCTCATCCCACTGCCGTGTGCTTGGGCCGAGGAGGGAAGACAGAGGAGGCCGCTGAGACTTTTGAAAACTGAGAAGTGCTTTAGTGTAGTCAAGCACACCTTCTGGCAGATACCATGCAAGTGTCTCCGAGTCCTCCTACCTGGGCATTGCTGATGAGCAAGCTTGGAATGCACCCAGCCTAGTCCCCGCAGATTCATTCAGAAGACTGAGGGCACCCACTCACGATGTCATTTACCTTCACGGCACAGTGAACCTGCAAGGGAAGTGGGCATTTAATTCTGGCTGGTGTTCTTCTTCAGCCACTAGGCTAAAAATGTACCCATTTGTGTAAGACACAGCCCTTAGTCACTGAGGAAAGTGAATGTGTGATGAAGAGAAGCGTCCTACATTTGGCAAACGTGCTGAGAATTCACACTTCCTGAATCAAAGTCCCTGACATTTTCAGAGAGCCAAATTTAATCAAGGCGTTTTTGAAAGATCCAAACTGAATCAGAAAGACAGGAGGCCCTATTAGCAGCATGAATCTTGATGACTGCTTGGAATTGCATTTGCTCAGAAGTCTAGCTTTCACGACAAATGAGAAATTCCATTTTGCATGGCTTGAGAAGGGGGCCTATTTCAAGCCATGTCATTGGGATAAAATTTGGAATGCACATTTATGTGTGAGATGCCATGTTGACCTCAAGATGCTCCAAGGTTCTTGGGAATAAAAGTGGGCAGGAGTTTTTTCCCCTCTTGAGGACTGTAGGTTCTTTAGCTTTGAGAATTGTAGATTCAAATAAAACCTCATTTAAAGGTCAATAATCAAAATCTAATTGTGATGGGGTGCCTGGGTGGCTCAGTAGATTGAGGGTTGGCCCTCTTGATTTGGGCTCAGGTCATGTGCTCAGGATTTTGGGATCGAGCCCACAGTGGGCATGGAGCCTGCTTGGGATTCTCTGCTCCTGCTCCCAAGCTCTCTCTCTCTGTCTCTCTGTCTCTTTCTCTCTCAAAACAACAACAACAACAAACCTAATAGTGAGCTGCTCTGAGGAGGAGGCCTGGAGGCCCACCTGTCCATTTCTGGTATTTGTCATGTCTTTCTGTCTTATTTCTCCCCCAGTTGGAATGTGAGCTTCACATATGCTGGGATTTTTTTTCTAATCTACTCACGGCTATATCCCCAGTGTCTTGAACATTGTCAGACCCAGGGTAGGCCTGGGTCTGTATTCACTGAATAAACAAATGAGCACAAAGACCTCTGAGGCTTTGCAAGACACAGCATTTATTACTATTACTAGGAGTACTATTAGCATCTACTCACTGAGTGTGTGCTATCCTGTGTTCCAATAGCATATTGAGCAGTTTGCATGCATGATCTCATTCAATCCTCACAATAAGCCTGGGAGTATGTATTTATGTCCCTGTTTTATAGATAAGGAAGACAAAGGCTTTAAGATGCTAAATAACTTACCTAAAGCCACATGGCTGGGAAGTGGTAGGTATTCAACACAGGCCTGCTTCGCTTGAAGCCTAAATTCTCCACTGGTGGTCTTTCTCTTTTTCTATTAAAAAACAAAAACAAAAACAAAACAAAACAAAACAAAAAAACACAGCTTTATTGAGCTATAATTCATGTGCTATACAATTCACTTATTTAAAATACACAATTAAACTGCTTTTGTATAGTCACAGAGTTGTGCAGCCATCACCATGATTTGTTTGAGGGTATTTCCTTCACTCCAAAAAGAAACCCTGTACCCATCAGTAACCATTCCATGTTTCCCCCAAGTTCTCCCAGCCTTAGGCCACCACTAATCCGCTTTCTCTCTATATATATTTGCCTATCCTGGACATTCCATATAAGTAGAATCATATGACATGAGGCCTTTGGTGTCTGGCTTTTCACTTAGCATGTTTTCAAGGATCACACATGTTGTTGCATGAATCACCCTCATTCCTTTTTATTGCTGGTGTTCCATTGTATTCCACCCAGTGTGTACAGATAGGCCACATGTTGTTGGGTATTTGGGTTGTTTTCACCTCTTGGCTAATGTAATGATGTTACTATGAACCCTCATGTACAAGATTTTGCATGGATCTGTGTTTTCTTTCTCTTGGCTACATACTTAGAGGTGGAATTGCTGTATCATATCATGGCTCTATGCTTAGCTTTTTGAGGAACTGCTAGACTGTTATTCAAGTAGTTGTACCATATTATACTCTTACCAATAACAATGTATGAGGGTTCCAATTTCTCCACATCTTTGTCAACACTAGTTCTTATCTGACTTTGAATCTAATCATCCTGGTGGGTATGGCATGGTATCTCATTGTGATTTTTTAAAAAAGATTTTATCTACGTTGAAGCAAATGGTGGGTATTTGTCGTTTCTAATGACTGAGTAATATTCCATTGTATACATAAGTCAATCGGAGAAGGACAAACATTATATGGTCTCATTCTTTTGGGGAATATAAAAAGTAGTGAAAGGGAATAAAGGGGAAAGGAGAAAAAAATGAGTGGGAAATATCGGAAAGGGAGACAGAACATGGGAGACTCCTGACTCTGGGAAACGAACTGGGGGTGGTGGAAGGGGAGGTGGGCGGGGGGTGGGGGTGACTGGGTGACGGGCACTGAGGGGGGCACTTGGTGGGATGAGCACTGGGTGTTATTCTATATGTTGGCAAATTGAACACCAATAAAAAATAAATTTATATAAAAAAAGATTTTATCTATTTATTTGAGAGACAGAGAGAGTGAGAGAGCACAAGAAGGGGAGGTGCTAAGGAAGAGGGAGAAGTAGACTCCTTGGAGGAGCAGGGAGCCCAATGTGCGGCTTGATCCTAGGACCCTGGGATCATAACATGAGCTGAAGGCAGACATTTAACCGACTGAGCCACCTAGGCCCCCCTCATTGTGGTTTTGACATGCATTTTCCCCATGGCCCACTGACTTCTCCCACCCATGCACTCACCATTTCTTTGGGTCTCCTGTCGTTGGCTGTCACTTCTGCTCAGCTGCTTCCCCATTGGTATCTCACTGGAGGTGAACCTCATCCTCACCGTGGCTACTGGGAAAAAGCTGTTGTTACTTATAACCTTCCTTCGAAAGGGAGGCGGTGTGTGAGGATCCTAGTAGCTGGAGGACATTTTGTTTGCAAAATATGAGTACTCAAAGTTAACAGAGTAGGCGGAGTTAAATTTGGCAAAGAGTTGAAGCCTGTGAGGGAGAGATGGGAATATAGAGCAGTTGGGGAAAGGTCAGGAGGGAGAGATGCAGCATGGCTGGTGCCCAAGAGGAGAGAGACCAGGCAGGTGATGTTCAAAGGGGAAGTCTGTCATGAAATGCTGTGTGTCTTACAGTGTGACCTCCTCTGAAACTTCCTACAACATCCTAAGTAAGCTCAGAATGGCCTTGTGGAGTTTTCTTTCTGGGGTGTATGTGTATGTATGTGTGTAGTGATGGACAGTAGGATATGAGGCAGTGCCGAATCAAGCATGAGGGTTGGTGTGGAGTGAAATCAGAAGTTTCATAGGGACAGTCTATGTGCTTGATAAATGCTCGACTCTGGGCCTCCTTCCAGACCTCCTGAGTCAGCATCATTTGGCATGGAACCTGGGAAGCAGCTTGCTTATTTATTTATTTATTTATTTATTTATTTATTTATTTATTTATTTAAGTAGGCTCTGCGCCCAGTGTGGAGCTAACATGGGGCTTGAACTCAGGACCCTGAGATAATGATCAGAGCTGAGATCAAGAGTTGGATGCTTAACTGACTGCGCTTCCCCGGTGCCTCTGAGAAGCAGTATTTTAAAGAGCTACCCAGGTATGATTCTTGTGCTTCCAATGTCTGAGAACCATCAGAAGGACCCCCAGTAGCCTCCATCAGCTGATACATAGTCTGTTCTGCTTCTAGCTTCTTTGTTTCCAGTGGTGGAGGATGAGGAGCTCATGCAGCCCCTGGTCTTCAGGACATTCTTCTCATGAGCCCAGTACCTTCTGAGCAGTTTGGCTACAGGTCCACCTGGTGGCCTTATTCCATTTGGTTTCCTCTGCATGTTTATTACAGACACTGCACATTTCTAACCTTTGGTTGGCACCTGGCCAATTTTCCCTAGTTTCACAAGTGATTTCAGGAGATAGACAGGAGATGGTCACAACCCTCATCAGGATGCTTCTCCACCCTTCAGGGTTTTCATTTCTCTGGGGTCCTTCTTCTCACCCCTACTGACAAAATCAGGCATGAATTAACGTCTACCCTTAGATTTGACTGCTTTGATTTGGCAGTTGTGACTTCACAGTTCCCAACCCTCATATTCCTTTTCTACCAACACCTGCACATTCAAGCGAGCATAGAACAGCGAGAGTGTTACGTGTATGATGTTGGTTGCAGGGTCACTTTTCCAAAACCCATGGAGAGTTCTAAACTGTAGAATACATTTTCTTCTTCCTGGTTGCAGTAACATTTCAGGCTGTGAACAGTAATAATGATTTAAATATAGCTGAAAATGGTCTGCTCCATAAATACAACTTGTGTCAAAACCAAAACGCAACTTTATTTTTTGTCTCAAATGGTCCTTTTATAATTTTTCAGGGGAGTAACTTTCCCTAGCCTCTGAACATTAATATAACTTGTTTTCTACTCTGACCTAGGTCATAGATGGTCTTTCAGTCACTTTTAGCTAATAATGAGGATGCATCCAATTAAGGATATTAATGAAGCCTTCCATCTTCACTTGTTCTAAAATGTAGGTTTTGTTATTATTCAGATACAGTGAGGCCAACAGATCAGGAGGCTGCCATTGAAATGATAGTTCATGACACTATCCCAAGAGAAGATCCCAAGAGAAGGGGATGTACCTTGTCACAAGGAGCCACACATGGAAGCACAGGGGTCAGGCAGAGGGAGTGAGAAAAAATGTGAGCAAGAGCCTTTACTGTAGTTTCTGTGAGGCTGGGGAAGCAGATTTAGGATTGGTTGGTTTGAATAATTTTAGCAGGCTTTGGTGCATAGGAGCTGTCCCTAGTTACCTGGTATCTGGCCCTGGGTTGGATAGTGGCCTAGTGTGAGAGTCTGACCAACGCGGTGGTTGTTGGGGGCAGAGGCTCTGGATTGGTTGGTTTGCATAGGAAGGTACTCTTTTGAAGGCAAGTCTTATTTTTATTTTACTCCTTAAACTATCTCTAAGAATTGGTTAGCCCTTGCAGTCCTCCAGGATCAGCAAGATGTCAAAGCATCCAAAAAATATGGAATACAAAGACATGGCTCATACAGCGCTCAAAGTAAGACTTCACTCCATGCTAACACCTGTGGTTGGCAGCTATCTCTCACTGGGAAGAAGTGACTTCTGCTCTTCTCTTACCTACCTCTCTCCCACATGCAAGCTGCTGTTTGAGACCCCATCAAAGTACAGTGCATGGAGGTAGGATAGCAATGTTGATTCCAAGTGCCATGGTCAGGGTGTCCACTTTTCACAGCTCTCATCCTGTGAGGTCTTGGTCCTCCCAGCTGAATCCTTGAACAAGACTTAACATGGCCCACATCTGGTACACACATCCTTGGTTACCTGGACAGGAGTACAACTCTAGGCCACATTGCTCCCAACTGAGGAGAACCCAGAAGAAGCCCTCTGGATGTTTCTATTGAAGCCCACTCCCTACAGACCAGAAGCAATGGATATAGCACTCCATCCAGCCCCTCAAGGCATCAGCACAGTTTTCTGCAAAGAATTTCTCCTCCAATCCTATCCCTTCCCACACTCTGATCTTGTTTTCACAACCCTGATCCAGCTGGGGGTTCTCATGTCCTTGGCACATCTCTATATGGGGAGACTGTGGTTCGGATTTCCCTGTCTATCTCACTGGCGTAGGGGAGCATCCTCTGAAACCAAGGCCAGAGGAGTCCTGCTTTCACTTCCTACTGAAGAGGCATCAAGATCATACAACTGCTCAGGCTTCCTTCCCTTTGTGCCTCCTGCCAGGATATTGGAGCTTCAAGACTCATAGAAACAATTTCCACTTTTTTAGAGCAGAATATAATCACAATTAGCAAGATGCCATTTTCCATGAAAGTATGGAGAGATGTTACTTTCAGGTCCTGTGAACACTTTTGTCTGCTCAGAGCTTTCTGGAGAGGGTCATAGATGCTCTGATGATGATTACCTCCACCCAAGCTCCTTCATCCTCTTCCTTCAACCTTTTTACTGAAAATATTTCCTACATCAAGGGAAAGCCCAGAGTGCTAGGGGTGGTGGCAAGATAGTGGAGGGCAGACACGTTGGAGATATTTCTGGGGTCACAAATCTTGGGTAGAACTGAGGTTTTTTACTCAGATATTCTATCTACTTACCTCCAGGAATCACTCATGTCCACCTGACTTTTAGGTTGGAAGCCTGTATTTAAATTCACAAAAGCAGGCTTTCCTGTATCTTCCTACCCAGGATCTGTAGGGAGGAAAACGAGTGGGGGTTTGGAACAGATGTGTCAAAGGTCTGCCATCACTAATAAGATGTATGCCCACATAGTAAGTTTTCTAGTTTTCCAAAGCTTTTGTGACTTCTTACACACACACACACACACACACACACACACACACACATTTGATGTTTCTGAAACCCAGCCTTAAACACATCTCAAGTCGTGATCACAGAAGCAATGGACTCCCCCCCTGGGGTTGAGGTTCTGTAGGGCATTTCATGATAAATTTATCAAAGCCACAGGAGCCAAAGCTTTATAAATAATTTTGGCATCCTTCATTACTCATTATTTGCTGTTAGCCCGTTGGGGGCAATTAGTCTCCATAGAAAGGAGAGGCTTCCCATTTACAGTTGCATTCACAGCACTTTTATTTTTGTGAACATTTTATTTCCCCAATCTCCAGATGAATTTTTGGAATGTTGGAGATTTTTTATTTACGGAAAGTGAAACAGCTGTGTTATAATGGAACCCGAGGATTTATCCATTCATTGGGAGACACCTCCAAACAAATTGTATCCCCAATGTTTGCTAGACACTGTGCTAGAAAGGGGGTGCAAATCCCATGCAGACATGTCCCTGGACATGAGCTGGGAAAATTCACAGGAGTGAAATAGAGAATTAGAGTCCAGTGGGAAGAAAGCTGACACAGAGGCCATGAAAAACAGATAAAGATTAAGGGGAGGATACCAAGGATGGTTGGGTTTGGAAGCATGTATAGAAGTTGGACAGATACAGAAGGAAAGGTTTTCCAGGCATAGGGAACAGTTTGAGTCAAGGTTTTTAAGTTTGAACCTGCATGGAGGTCTGAGAGTTGAGAAGACCTTCCCCACTTCTGGTAGATTCTGGGGAGGCAGTGAGATTTCTGAAGGAGAAGGTTGTGTAGTGCATTCAGATGGAAAGGGTTTGCTTCCTGGTGTTTTGGAGAGTAGAACTATAGGACCCCTGATAGTCAGCCATTTAGAAAAATATTAAAAACTTAAAATGAATTTCTGCCAAGAATATAATCATAGCAATAAAATAAAAATTTAAAGCAAAAGAAAGGAGACTGATCTTGGGGAAAATGAAAATCAAAATCATGCCAGGAGGTAAAAGAACAGTAGCCAGAAGAACAACTTTTTTCTTTTTTAAAAGATTTTATTTATTGATTTATTTGAGAGAGAGAGTGAGAAAACATAAGCTGGGTGAGGTACAAAGGGAAAGAGAGAAGCAGACACCCTGCTGAGCAGGGAGCCCAACTTGGGGTTCAATCCCAGACCCTGGGATCACGTCCTGAGCCAAAGGCAGATGCTTAACCAGTGAGCCACCTCAGTACCCCCAGAAGAATAACTTCTTGAATTAGATTTGGAAGTGATAATATATATGTGCTATATAATACATGAAGTACATACAGATGTGCATATATGTAATATATATAAAATACATACATGTATGGAATATACATGTATTTATAGTGAGTGTATTGTATGTGTATATATATGCCATATACATATATATTTATGTTTTTTTAAATTGAGGTATAAGTTACATACAATAAAATTTTAAAATCTTGATTTTCTTAAACTATTACATATGCATATGCCAAGACACAGAACATTTCCACCATGTGAGAATATTCCCTTGTGCCTCTTTTTTAGCCAATCTTCTCATTCCAGAGAGCCCTTCCCCATAGATTACTTTTACCTGTCTTTGAGGTTCATATAAATAGAATTATACAGTATGTGCTCTTCTGTGTCTTGTTTCTTTTGCTCAACACAATGTGTTGTGAGTTTCCATGATCTTGTTGCATACCTGGTGGTCTGTTTTTTTTTTTTATTGCTGTAGTATTCGATGGTATTGAGTATACCACAGTCTGTTTATCCACTTTCCTGTTGATGGACGCTTGGGTTGTTTCCAGTTTGGGTTGTTGTGAATAAACGTGCTATGAACATTTCTGTACCCACTTTTTGGACATGTGCTCATTTCTTTTAGGTGTGGAGTGGCAGTCTGAAGTCATTATACCAGTTTACCTTTCCATCAGCATTGAATGAGAGTGAACTGTATTTTCAAGATGGATAATTCAGCTTCAAATAAGTATCCCAGACATATTTTGGAAGACTTGCCTAAATGACTATAAGGCTGGAAGTCAGAGTCCATGGGTCTAAAGTTCTCACTCTGTCACCCAGCCCTGCATGCTCTGCTGATCATCTCATTTTCCTGTGTCTTCCTTTCTTTGTAACAGAAGTGGTTTAGACCTTGATCTCAAAAGTCACTAGAATTCAGTGTCATACTTAAATGTTTTCTCATGTTTCTCTCTGTATTTCCTCTGCTGATCTCCCACTACTATGCCAATTTGGTCAACAAGGCCCTTCTGTCCCTTGTCTACAGGGAAGAGAAGGCACAGCAGAAAGTAGATAAGAAAGTAGGTAAGACTCCTGGCTTTTGAGATTCAAAAGCCAAACCATTGGCAGGGAGAGGGATGTGCTCAGGCCAGAGTA